AGCAGTTTCATCTTGTTTTCGCAACTTGGTCGTATTTTAAATGAGATCTAAAAGACAGTACCTTGTCCGGAATCCATAGTATCCATGATAATTTCCAGAATCGGACCGTGAACTTAATACACTAGCAGACATCTCGCCGGCATTGTAGTCGGCATCATCAGGGCGTCTCACCATTTTTAGCACCACATTAAACCTTGCCAAAGGGCCCAATTTTCTGTTAAATAGTTGTGTTAGCTCTCCCTCTGTCCTGGGGTATTCACCTATCATATATCCTTGTAACACACCTTCACTATCACAATTCCTTATTTACTTGTTCAAACATAGTTGAGATGTGCCCTTATGAGCAGATTTAGTGAAACCTATTCTCACTCACTGCTGGTCCCCCATCCCCCTCACTGTCCTGGAGGTGTTGATTCGAGGTGCCTCTCACTGATGATGTCGGCAAAATGTCTGGGAATGTACCTAGCCAATGGTCAAATGCTGGAAATCACAAATACTATAACAAAGGGCACGAGACTAGATACATTCCACATGGTCAACCAAAACTATAAAGCAAAAGGAGACTACGAGTAATGAGAAGGCCAATTCATCTTGGTCTTCATATCTACGATAAGTAAGTAAGAGTTTGTGAGAGAAACTGTGTGATACGAGGATATATAAAATGTGAATGCACCAGCACTGAAAGGATATCACAACTCTTCAGATTATACGAAGGTATGAAGACCAAGATGGTCTGGCCTTTTGTGTGATCGCAGTCTTCTTTAGTTGTATAGAGGTTGTTTGACCTTGTTTTCTCAACTTGGTCATATTGGTATGAAGACCTAGAGGAACGCACCAAGTCCAGAGTGCATTGTATGCATGATCATTTTCAAAGTCGGACCGTGGTACGTTCCCAGGTGTTTCGCCCGCATCGTCAGTGAGTCCACCATTCTTAGCACGACACAACAACTCGTCAAAGAGACAAGTGAAGCCGATTCTTTAACCAAACATGGGCTAAACAGTTGTGGTTTCTCCTCTTCTGCCCTGGGCTATTCACATTTCCTATATCCTCCTATCACGCCTTCACTTAAATTTTTACCGTGCTTATTGAGATGTAGTGTGGTTAGCTTCTTTGAGCGGCATTCATGAAAACCCTTCACACTTCACGCTATCGTTCTCACCCCCTTCATCCTTGTGCTAGGAATGTGGTTCAGTCTGCCATATTGATACGCAGTACTCCTTCCCTAGGTCTTATCACAGTCTCTCTCTCTTGCCCCGTAAGATCCGTCTGCTCTCTTCCTGGTTCAAGAATTTCACTCGACCCCTGCCACCCCATCTGTGCTACTCGAGGCGTTATTCGCCCTCCCCTGCGTCTGGCTGACTAATTCGAGGCTCAAGTATCTGAGTTTGTCTCATCGTCAAGACTTTGCTACATGGACCGCATCTCTGGTAAAAAACAGACCTATTGTTAGCCAACTAGCTCCACTTTCCGCCGCGTCTATCCTGTTTCTATTCCCAATACCAAGTCTATGACTTCCCATGCCCTAGTCTCTTGTGTGCCAACACACAAATGTTGTTGAGGTACTGGGATAAGACCTAGGGAAGGAGGACTGCGTAACAATATGGTAGACTCTGATCCATATTCCCAGCACAAGGGTGAAGGGGTGAGAACGACAGCGTGGAGTGTGAAGGGTTTTCATGAATGACGCTCAAAGGAGCACATTACACTACATCTCAATAAGCACGGTAAAAATTGTAACAATTAAGGCGTGATAGGAGGATTATAGAAATGTGAATAGCCCAGGGCAGAAGAGCAGATACCACAACTGTTTAGCACACGTTTTGTCAAAGAATCGGCTTCATTTGTCTCTTTTGACGAGTTGTTGTGTGGTGTTAAGAATAGCGAGACTCGCTGACGATTTCTGCGAAACGTCTGGGAACGTACCACGTCCACGGTCCGACTTTAGAAATGATCATGCATACAATGGACTCCGGACTAGCTGCGTTCCTCTACGTCTTCCTACCAATATGACCAAGTTGCGAAAACAAAGTTAAACAACCTCTTCAGATTATAATTTTCCAAAGGATCAACTTCACTTGCCTTTATTACGGGATGTGGTGTGAGGCTCAGACTGGCAAGACCGAGTGATGATGCTGATTACGATACCGGCGAGTCGTCTCTGCATGTGCCAAGTTAACGGTCCTATTCCGGAAATTCGCATGGATACTATGGGCTCCTGACAAGGTGTGTTCCACTAGGTCCCATTGATAATACCACTAAATTGTGAAAACTAGGTCAAACACCTATAAAACTAAAGGATAATGCAACCATACTAAAAGCCACACTATCCTGGCCTTTTTAACTTTAATTAGGACTGGTGATTTAAGTAGAATTCTGATTTTTTGATAGTATCTATTGTAATAAAGTTCCGAATTTTGAGTTTCGACACCAATGCTTATTTCGCTATTACATTTATTATTAATATCCACTTCTACCTTTTTAATCAACTTTACCTACTATACATTTTTCGTCTTTGTATCACGTCTGAATTTTTCGTAAACTATGCTTCTGCATCTAAAACGCTTGTCATTATCTGACCCGCTGACTGTGGAACACGAAATACTATCTGACTATTTAGGATTTTATTTTTTCGCGTTGACATGCTACTTCACTCACAGATTGTAATAGTGAAGCAAGGTTCAACCAACCACATAATGAGCACCTGACCTTGCAGTATCTCCTGCCTAAAGTTACGTCATGTCTTAAAATAGACATATTTTGCTTACTATTCGTGATTTATGGCAAAAGCATTACAAAAATTATATTTGCAGGCGCGGAGCTTCTCAGTGCCTTTTGCATATCAGCACGGAATTCATGAACTTCAAAAGCTCTCTATCTTATCTTGCGCCCCTAATTTCA